CGGAATTCTGTTCAGCAGTCTGAAAATTATCCGCGCAGAGAAGTAAATCATCGAAATACTGGAGCAGGACCACATCTGGGTGGGATTTCTGCCACGACTCTAGGACAGCTGACATAGCTTTGACGAACTGGGTTGGGGAATTTTGTGCACCTTGAGGCATAATAGTCCAAGTATACTGTTGACGATCGTGTGTGAAAGCAAACAGATATTGACAAGAGGGATCCAAGGGCACGCTGAAAAAGGCATTTGCAAGATCAACCACCATGAAGAATTTAGCTGTTGGAGGAACTTGTGACAACAATGTATGTGGATTAGGGACAACAGCAGTATCGCGATTTGTGACTTCATTAACAGCGCGGAGGTCTTGGACCATACGGTATTGGTCAGGTTGACCTTTTTCAGTTTTCTTCTTTACTGGAAATAGAGATGTGTTACAAGTTGATACACATTTGACAAGAGCACCTTTTGCCAACAGGCTATAAACTTGTTTGGAGATGGCGAGAGCTTGTGCAGGTTTCAAAGGATACTGTGGTCTTCGTGGTGGACTGGCTCCTTCAATTAGTGTAACTACCACAGGTGGGACTCGTAGGTGTCCAATGTCATCTGGGCCCGTAGACCAAAGCTTGGTTGGGATGTCATGTGTAGTAGTAGAGGCAGAGAGCAAAGGACAGAAGTATCTTTGCGTGAATGGGGGGTTAATAATTGAACCTGGCCATCAGCAGTAAAGGAGATAGAAGCTTGAAGACAAGACAGAACATCTGCTCCTAAAGGGTTAATTGGACAGGTGGATGAAACAACGAACCGAGAGAGAATGTCAGAACCAACCCGCGAGAGCTTAGTCAATGGGTTGTTTCTGGGGGTAACATCGACACCTACACAAGAAACATCTGTGTCAGATAGAAAAGATAGGTCAGGCAGGTCTTGTTCTCTGAGAACACTGCGGGCTGCACCTGTGTCAACTACAAAGGTAGTAGGATGACCCTCAACTGGAAGGAAAACTGTAGCTAGGGGTTCCCCCTTGTCCCCTGTAAACACTGCCATGACAAGGGTGTTAGACACAGGTTGCCGGTTACCTATTG